CCCCCCCCCCCCCCCCCCCCCCAGAGCAAGAGTAAGGGACCAATGACAGGGGACTCGATTAATTTCTCTCAGCATCAAGCCCCAAGAAACTCATTTTCCACATGTTAATCCATAACCATAATTAGACAACTATAAAATCACTTTAAACTCCTTCAGTTTTAATCACCCTATAAGAGCATAATAGCTTCATATGAGATATCAAAGTAACCAGATCAGATATGTCAAATCCATGCATACAATGTGAAAACTTAAACTAAATAAATAGTCAATCTTTCGAAGAAATTTTCTTGAGCAGATATGGCCCACTGTCCAGGAGCAATTTTGAAGGATATAGAATTAAGTCATTTTGAAAACTCACCCCCACCCCTGCAGTAAAAAAAAAATAACAAAAAACATGGCAGAATAACCAAGTTCAAGAAAAATAAATGGAAATAAAACCAACCGGTAGCTCCAAGTGTATCCTGCAAAATCAATGAATAATAAATCAGACATTCAGTGAATGCTAAAAAAATGCCCAATTAAAAATCAAAGTATGTCATAAAGGAGTTATTGCACCTTCGGTATATTGCACACGTACCCAGCAGATCGTTTGGCAACGCCTGACTTCAGTGGACCAAGCAGCTGCATCAATTATACATCTTAATTAGAAATCTCAAATTCGAGAACCTTCTGCATTGACTAAGAATCCTGGTAGTTAATGCAATATCATCATTAGAAAGAGAGAAGTTCTTTGAGCAATACCCACTTCTATCTTAGAGTTCAATACATATTTTCTTCTATTCATTTCCAAGATGTTTGAAGAGCTAATAAGTCAAGTAGAGCAGGATCTTTTTCTCTTTTTTTAATAAACAAAGAGTTGGGGAGTTTCCGAAGAAATGCTCCTATTAGGGTTGATATCGGCAGGGAAGTTGTTTCAAACAAGAGCTCTGAGGAGAAGCAACAAAAGATAAATTATCCCAAATGCTTGAAGGTTTCTTATAAATGCTTTGAAACCTTCTCATATTCCTCTCTAGCCAACCCTCGCAATAAAATCACTTCCATGATGGTGGACTCAAAGCTTGTGAAGGCTTTACTTTGTACGATCTCATTTGTACAAAAGCTCAGAAAAAGTAAAAGCTGTCCAAAAGAACACTTTGCATTTTTTTCCTTTATGAAATAGAAATAACACCTTGGCTTATTAGTTTAGTTATTAGAATATTTACCTATCCAACGAATTTGACAAGCATTTTAGGAAGAAAAGAGATGAAAAAAGTTGACCAAAACGGGATTTATAACGCCTCTACTTCAAACTTTCTTAAGTTCATTCTAACGTTAAAATTCCAAGAGCCTTTGAGTTGGTCCAAACACTGTCAAACAGAAAAGATTTTACTCCCTAATAGCACAGACAGGTAAGGCAAAAGGTTTACATATTGAAATTGATATTGAAAGAAAGAAGATACATATTGATCATGTAACCGTAAATGGTAACAGGAGATGCATATATTTGTAACTGATCAGAAGCCATTAAAGTAGGTTCTTTTAATTATTACTTTTCTGCTCTTTGTTTCAGGGAACTGCATGTTGCATACTGGAACATCTAAGACACACATTTTGATTATTAGATTGTTCTTTGATTCCCAACACCTTTTCTTTCCACTAATTCGTTCCACTGATATCCAGAACATACCTCTCTTACAGTTACATACGTATCTGGTAAAGCCCTCTTTGCTCGGTCAATGGTAGGTACAGCAACTCCTTTAGAAATATTCATCCCACTTCTGCTAATTACCTCAGCTGCCTGATTTCCACGCGAAGATAGAAAAAACTCAAGACATCAAATTCCACATTCCATACTCATGAACAAACAAATTCATTATTTTTCAAAAAAAAAAAAAAAAAGCGCACACATCATCGTAACACAATCTTGTGCAGCTTAGGTAAATTAAGATCTCAAACGAACCAAAAGCAATTGTATTCACCGATCAGACAAATACTCAATAATCCGAACTAGTAGAGTAAAATAAAGACCCAAATTCAAATGCAGATTGACCTTGAGATATTCATGAGCAACGAGACGAGAAAACGACGAGGACTGATGCCATTGACGGGGGACAATAAAAGAACGAGAGACGAACGTGGTGAGCTTCATCAATCCGTTCGCCATTGATTTTCAGAGCTGAAGAAGAATTTGAACTGTACAGAGAAACCCTAGGAGAGGCGTTAAACCCTGATGAATTTCTATGTTCGGGGAGGGCGTTTCGGGGAAGAAAAAAAAAAAACAGAATAATTCTGACAAGAGTGCCGGAGAGTGACGTCATCCTACATTTATAATAAAAAAAATAGCAAATTTTCATAAATTTAATGGTAATATGTAAATTCAATTTAAAAAATTTACAAATGAAAAAATTTGTGTCTAATAAAATTATATATTTCAATATTTTATTTAATAAATTTATTATTTTTGAAAAAAATTGAATATATTAAATTTTAATTTATTAATTTGAGTTTAATTGAACCAATTTCTATTTATTGATAATTAAAAAATATATTTTATTGTTACGTACTATTAAAAATAAAATTTTGAGTATTTAAAACATAATCTTATAAAATATATATTAAAATTGAATTGCAAATTTTAATTCAACATTTAAAAATAAATAAATAAATATTTTAAATATTAACCTTTTACTTTTAAAAAAAAATTAAATAAATGACTTAAACTTTCCGAACTATTGAATTATGTCAAAAAAATGTTTCAATCTGACTCAACTAGAAACATATATTTTAAAAATTAAAAATAAATAAAAATAAAACACAATCCAGCAAGATAACAACTCAAAGAATAATAATTATTTACTCAATTATGAACAACAAAGATATATTAAATAAAAAAAATTGAAAAAAATTAAATTACATTCCTACCCTTTGGAGGGCAACAGGAGAATTATTGTGGAGCAGCCTAAAGAATTGTGAACAACTTATGTCATAATAGTTGTGAAGGATTGTCGAGGACTGGGATCATCTCTGTTTGTACAACTCCCATCTCTCTTATTCTTCCAAATTTATCAGCCTCTCTTGCTATTTGGATGTCACATGGACTATAATATTGATAAAGGTACTTTACGACGAACCGAGGAAGTAACGCTACAACGATGATCGATAACAAACATAGCCAAAAAGATGCTCTGCCCGCCACGTGATATATCGCCCTGCCATAGTTTCATAACGTGATCACTATATTAGAATGGACGAAGTTATAGAATGAGAAGGCTTTACGAAATAGGATTATATCACATACCAGTAACCGGGAAGCGACAATATCGAATCAAGAACAATGACACAAATGACTGTTGCGAGAGTGGATCCCCAAATCACGGCATGGGTGATGAAATACCATCGAAACACGTCCATTGCCAAGTGTAAGTTGACGACGATGACCGTAGCGAGTAGCCAGAGATCTCCGAGGCCTGAAATGTCGACAGTGGTAGCCCAGAAGGAAAGGAGGGGGATGAAGAAAATAGCAATGCTTTGCCACACAGTGTCAACCATTGTTAACCAAAACAAGCCAGAGTTGTAGCTCTCTTGTCTATGGCCTGCCCCATAGAGTTGAGGGTAACTAAGAAGGGTCCTTCTTCCCAAGTCTTTGTCAAGAATTCCAACAACGATTGTGGGCAAACAAGTATAGATTATAGAGTAGAGTACACTGCTCCATTGGTTGATCGCGGTCGATAACGAGTAACCCGTAAAGAGCACGTACCTATGAAGAAACACATGATCATATCAGAAGTTTCCCAAGTTCTTGTATGTTTCTATTTCATATGATCTAGACAGACATTACTCACCAAAAGAGAACAAGCACAAATACTGCATTTCTATAAAAGTTGTACAAGATCATGTAGCCCATGCGCTGGTAATTCCAATGTCCATGTACCAGTAGAAGAGGAACCAAGAATCTAAATTGCCCCATGGCGAAATCCGACGCCATGACAGCTTGTCGACCCTCTAGACCGCTGATACCGACACCCACATCCGCCTTTTGGATCATTGACACGTCATTTGCGCCTACGAAGATTTGACAAACATAAAATCTATGACCAAACATCCATAGCAAAGAAGAATTTTGATATAGGTTGAGAAAGATGGGCTTTCAGAAATGAAAACTAGAAAAACAGCCCAAAGGTCGTTCTTTCGTTTTTCCTTTCAAGATTTTCCTCGAGATTTTTAGAACAAGTCAGTTAGGGAGAGGTTTCTATACTCTTATAAAAATGTTTCGTTTCCCTCACTCCACCCCCCTTCGAGGCTCAACGTCCTTGCTGATATTTGTTCCTCACAATCACAATCCGAGACATTCGATAAAATTGGAACAATATAGAGAAGATTAGCATGGCAACACGCAGAAATCGAGAAATGGTATCAGAGTCAAATACCATGTCGTGTGCCAGCGAGAACGCTAGTCCCCGAAAGGGGATGGATTGTGAGATTCCACATCAGTTGGAGAGGGGAACGAAGCATTTTTTATAAGGGTGTGAAAACCTCTCCCTAGCTTAGGCGTTTTAAAAATTTTAAGGGAAAGTCAAAAAGGGAAAGTCAAAAAGGGAAAGTCCAAAGAAGACAATATATGTAGCCCAAACACGCCATTATATTACAGTGAGAATTACCATCACCAATGGCAAGTGTCATGTCAGAAGTCCTTCTCTTGACAAGAGCAACAATTCCAGCTTTCTGCAATGGAGCAACTCGACAGCATAACACCACCGAACAGTGACAAGATAGTTGGAAAAGCTGAAACACAAGCGAGTTAGCTAAAACGTTAGACAATCAAGAGTATATACAAGATGGAATTTGCAGGTTTGAAAGCATTTATACCTGTTCTTCAAGTCTACTGTCAAGAATATGAACAAGGCTGCTACCATCAATGATCAACGCAACCGAAGCCGTTATAGCTTCGGTACGTCCTTCGCTATCCAGTGTAACCCCCGACGCAGTAGCAAGCTTTTTCGACATAATTATTGCATCTTCTAAACTCCTTCGGCATGAATCAACCGAGTTGCTGTTAATGATAATTTGGGTCATCTTGTTTGTCAAGAGCTTGGAGGAGTAACCTATTGATATGGCTGTTTCTTGCTTATCCCCAGTCAAAACCCATACTTTAATGCCTGCCATTCTTAAAGCTTCTATAGCTTCTGGAACACCTTTTTGTAACTTATCTTCAATGCCAGAGGCCCCCAATATGGATAAATTGTTTTCTATGCTACTGGAAACCTTGCGAAGCTTAGCTGCTCTGCCGATCAGAGCAGTGCTTGCTTCCTCAAACATCAAGTGCCATTTATCAAAGTCAGAAGAACTGAGTTCTTTCATCCCAATAACCAGTGTTCTGAGACCCTTTGATGAGTATGAATGAAGATGAGCTTTAGTGGCTTGAATGATACTCGTGTTCATATTTCCACCCATCACCTTGAACATGGAGTTATCAGCACCTTTTACAAATACTTTGAAGGACATATCGGGACATCCCAATATCACCGACATCCGCTTCCTGTCGCTATCGAACTCGTGCATTCCCAAAACATTATATCTGCAAGCCAATATTTATTAGTTTTAGAAAGCACGATAGAGGACGGTAGAGGATTATTGAAAGGAGTAGTCTCACGTTGGTTAATTAAGAGGAAGATCATGGGTTTATAAGTAAGGAACACTATCTCTATTGGTACGAGCCCTTTTTGGAAAACCAAAAGGAAAGCCATGAGAGCTTAACATGGTATCAGAGTCACTAGTCATGTCAATAGAATCTTCAAATGTTGAACAAAGAAGTTGTGAGCCTTAAATGTGTAGTCAAAAGTGACTCGTTTGTTCAAGGGCTTTAGAGAAGGAGTCGAGTCTCGAATAAGAAGAGACTATTCGACAGCTTCATAGGCCTCAAGGGAGGCTCTATGGTGTACTTTGTTCGAGGAGAGAATTGTTGAGGATTGTCGGGAGAGGAGTCCCACATCGGCTAATTAAGGAGTTGATCGTGAGTTTATAAGTAATGAATACACCTTCATTGGTATGAGGCCTTTTGGGAAACCCAATTCAAAGCATGAAAGCTTATGTTCAAAGCAGACAATATCATACCATTGTGGAGGTTCGTGATTCATAATACGTTAGAACATAGAGTGGAAAGAAATATTTTTCAATAACCAAGCTGAAGCATGATCTACCTTTCTTTTGTACCATGTATGTCGATAACTATATGACCAGAGGTTCGTTCGATCAGCATAAAACCGTATGCCGCAGCAGCATAAACCAATGCCTGTTCATCTGGGGACTCCCCTTGGTAGTCAACTAATTGCACTGAAGGATCAGAAGTTTCTGTAATAAGAGGAACAATGGTATTGCAAGCAGCTAATGCCAGGAAGAAATCATGAATATATCTTCCATTCTTGGTGTGCTTTCCACTTTTTGATAACTGTAGAAGCTCGGGGTCGGTTTTGACAGCCATTTTCGGTCTCAAAACCTTTCCATTCACTGTTACAAAAAATAGCAAAAGATAAGCTAAACACCACACTTGGATAGGAGACCTTATTGAACAAATGAAAGGAAAAAAGAAATCTGCTTACCTAGAGCCGAGTATCCAATCTGCTCATCGAGGGGGCCGGTACTTTCACCTGCATAATCGACCCCCGAAATGCTAGCACATCGAAACTCCATCTTATTCTCAGTAAGAGTACCCGTTTTGTCTGAAAAAACATACTTTATTTGTCCTAAATCCTCATTTATGTTCAAAGCTCGACACTGAAATCTAGAATTCGATGTTCCATCGTACATTTGAACGTCTCTGATCATGAAATAAGCCTGGCCAACACGAACCAGCTCCATCGAAATGTAAAGTGAAATAGGGATCATGATCTGAAACACAATGACTGACATGAGGAATACAAAAAAGGCCTCCAATCCCCATCCATAATAGTTATAGGTTTCAGGTGGATCTTTTGAGAAATCCTTATTCCTGAAATAAGGCAAAACGTCCAAATCTTCCCTGTTTCTAAAGAACCAAACACCAGCAAGAACACAAACAACTATACACAAAGCAATGAGAAAGAAAGAGAGCATAATAATCTCCACATTCATACGAGTCTCGAGTCGACTTCTTTTCGACGGAGCTCCAGAACTATTAAGCATGGCTTTGGTCTCACGGCCAGCATATACAGCAACGCCAACCGCCCAGTTCGTATTCTTGAGCTCACAGCCTCGAAGAACAATGTTTGGAGGTCCAAGCGAAAGTCGTTTCCCATCAATCTCCATATTAGCATGAAATCCATAGATATTCCTATTGGGTTTCTCACATTTAATCAACCCAACAATCTTCTCCTTGTCGGGCATTTTAGACATCGTCTCCTGTTTCGCATACCTCGTTTTCAAATTCGATTCACCGTCCAAATTCAAGGTCTGCACATAAGCAACCCCTGTGGAATCACTAGTAGAAAGAAGCACCATATCACAAGGAATGGTACCATTTGCACCAATCTTAATTATCTCACCAACTCTAATATCCTTCCATTTCTTATCATGAAACTGACCATCAACCAAAACTGAAGCTAATCTATTGTTCTCAATCTTATCAGAACGATGCCTTCTCCAATCCTCATATGCATCTTTAACAGCAGTAACAAGAAGCACAAAAGCTAAAGGCAAAATAGATACTGTTCGACCAAAAACGGCAAGCTGGGGAAGTTGATTAAGAACAGCAATAGCTAGGAAATATATATAAGCAATTCTATGAAACTGTTCAAACAGATTTCTCGGTAGAAAAGTTAGAATCGAATACTTGCAGGTGCGAATCGAATTTCTAGCGAATTCAAACTTCTCGTTCGTCTTCTCAGGATCATCGATGTAAATCAACCTCGCATCTTCGTCATTGATCTCCTTCTGTGATAAGCTCAGTGCTTCAGAATCGGCACCTCGAGAACCATGACGAACAGGCCTCGATCCAAAATCATCACTAGAACTCACTTCGCGAATTGAGGATTTCGATTGTAGCGACGATTGACTTCGCCGCGAGAAAGCGCGGTGACCTAGTTCAGTACTCGCTAAGTTCTCATTCATGGCGAAGAACAATCCAGGTTGGTTCGGCTCCTGTTTTTGTAGATCGTGAGATGTAGTTTTGGGCGTTCTTGGAGATACAATCAAGAGCGGCCAATCCGACGCCATGATTTAACAATCAGCACAAACCCAATCATCAACGCATTCACAAAATCGCCAAACGAGCTACAAAAACACTAAACCAAGATCAAAAATCCAGTAGAAACTCAATCACTAACTCGCACCGATACAAAACTCTCTCTATCGATTAACAGAGCATCACAGACGAAACAACAGAGTGTACGTGAAGAACAACAAGAACAAATAGACCAAGTCTGCTGCCGGATGGGCAAATTTCTTAAGCGAAAATAGTAGTTGGAGAAGCGTGTAAGAGGGAGAGAACAAGAATAGAGAACGGTCAAAGCCATCGCAGTATTTTTTTAGAGACAGAAGGGAAGAAAGTGTGAATCTAGAGAGAGAAAGAGAGTCGGACGACGATCATTGCAAGAAACGGAGAAGAAGTCGTAATGGGTGGCGACAGCAAAACGAATCCATCCAATCAAAAATTCAACCACTTTTTTTCAAAAAAAAAACAAAATATGGGTTTTTTCTTTCGCATTTCATAACTTTTGAAATTCTTTTCAACTAAATTGTCGTTGTTCTAAAAAAACACTGAATTTGTTTGAGCGGGAAAGAAATTTATATGAATAAATATGGGTGTCTCAACTTGGATTGAAGTTCTTCAATTTCCCGAATTTATCTTTTTTTTTTAAGTTTATGAAAATTTAATACAAATTTAAAATATAAATATAAATATTGGAGTAATTAGTAGAAATATTAATATTTAAATTATATATATATATATATATGAACAAAAATCCTTACCAATTATTTTATTAAATTTTTTTATTCAAATTTTAGGATGTTAAATTCAAACAACTCATTAAGATTTTTATTTAATTATTTTAAAAAATTTAATAAAAACTAACTTAATTTAATAGAATATCCATAAATTTATATTTTGTTTAAAAAAAATATTTACTAAATAATAAATACATACAATTCTCAACCTTAAACCCTAAGATTGAGTAGGGTTGGTCATAAATAATTAATATTCGATTATCATATTAAATTCATAACTAACTTTATCATTTAATACATGATTTGTATACTATAGGCATTAAATTTTTTGTTAGGTTTTATGGTTGATAATTTTCAATTTTTTTTTTTTATTTTTTGTAAATTAGGTGAAGGGAATTATTTAAATTTTGTAAACAAAAATTAAATATTATTTTATTAACACGTCATACGGCTTGTTAATCAATATAAAAAATTTTAAGACTCAATTGCAATCACAATCGAATTATATGAATGAAATTGAAACAATTAAAATCGTACTAAAATAAAAATTAAATTATAAGGACTAATTTGTAATTTTACACCAAATCTTCCTGGACTATGAATTTAGAAAATTAACACCAAGTATTTTATTTTGATGTGAAGGCAACTCCGGTTGACCGTTGCCAACCATGTATATGAATTATGCAAAGGTGACACGTGGCATGCCAATCATTATATTTTTAATTTTACAAATTATGTAAAAACAAGAAATGTTAAATAATAATTATTATTATTTTAGGTTCTTGGAATATAAATGAGCGGTGTAAACCTAATCTAATTAAATATAGAATTGAGACTAATAATTAAATCCAATTAATTAAAAATTATATTTTGATATTATCAGAATCTTTTTATATTAAAAAAAAGGCATATTTAAAATTAAAAAATTAATTAATTTTTAAATAATTAATTTTATAAAAAAAAATGGAAATTTAAATTCGATATTAAATTCAATATTTCAATTATTGGTTTATTTATTTATTATCATTTTTCATAATCGGAATTTAAATATGATTATTTATTTTGATATAATCTTGGTTATATTTCAAAAGATGTGATTTTTGTTTTACTTCCAATTTATTTCACTAAACATTTTCATTTGCAAAACCATGTACTTTGAATATTTTATTTATCTTTAAAAAAAAATCATTTGTGATTGTTAATGTGGGTGGAGTTATAAAAAAAATATATATTTAATTCAGTAAAAGAAAAATTTGTCCTCTTTTTTTTATAAATTGAAATTAGTTTTAAATATATTAAATTTACGACTAGTTATCAACAAATGTTGAGATGGCCGAGTTGGTCTAAGGCGCCAGATTAAGGTTCTGGTCCGAAAGGGCGTGGGTTCAAATCCCACTCTCAACATTCTTTTTACTATTTTCTTTTCTCATTTCATTATTTTACTATTTTCTTTTCTCATTTCATTATTTTACTATTTTCTTTTCTCATTTCATTATTTTACTATTTTCTTTTCTCATTTCATTATTTTACTATTTTCTTTTTCTTTTCTCATTTCATTATTTTACTATTTTCTTTTCTCATTTCATTATTTTACTATTTTTTTTTCCTAATTTCCTTATTTTACTATTTTTTTTTTCTTATTTCTTTTTTTATTTCATTATTTTACTATTTTTTTTCTTATTTATTTTTTTATTTCATTATTTTACAATTTTCTAAGATGACATTACGTGATAATTGACAATTAATTATCTTCACATGAGCGATGGAACGATCCCGAAGGTCCAAAACAACAATACAAATAGATCCCTAGATCATAACATGAGCGATGGAACCATCGAACAACGTCCATTGCTAAGTTCAAGGGACGAAAGGGACGACAATGACCGCAGTGAGTAGCCAACAATTCCAAAGACCCAAAACAGGTATGATGTAGCATTGTATGCCAGTGAACTCTTCCTACATGGAGCCCACAGCCCAGCTAGTATTCTTGAGCTCACACCCACCCACAACTATGCTTGAATGTCTAAAACATAGGTGTAATCTTCTCTTATGGGCCATTTTCGATACCGTTTCTCGTTTTGTGAACACAACACGACAAGAACAGATATAACAGAATAAGAACACGTCCACTAAAACGTACATTTTTATATAAGAAGAAAGTTGAGTGAATAAGTTTATGTGTTTATATGCTTATAAAATGTATATCGCTACCGAAAGTTATTATTTTTGTCAATGATCTAACTCATATTGAGCGGGTCATCCGCACCCTCCATTAATGTCCAAAAATATTTATTAATCACATTTTTTTCAGTTAAATTATAAAATTTAGTCTATTTTTTTTAATTATTACCCAACTTTTTTCCTTGAACATTCTTTTGAAATTAAATATCAACACGAAAAACATGGTAAATTTAGCCGACAAAAAAAAAAAAAAAAACAAACCCAA